CAGTTCTTGTTTCTCAAGCATTTTCAAGCATCAAGCATTTGGGGTCGGGAAGGAATTTTCCTCCAGGGCAGATTGGCTGAGCCTCTGGAGGTTTTTCGCCTTCCTCCGCAGCATGGGGCAGGGATCTCTAGCAGGAGGGTCTCTGCCGATTGCAGTCACTAAAAACAGGATTGGGGACTTCAACAGCAGAGTCCAGGGAAGGGGTAGGGACGGTTTTATGGCCTGCAGCATGCAGGGGGTCAGACCAGATGATCATAATGGTCCCTTCTGACCTTAAAGTCTATGAGTCTATGAGAGCACCAGTGTCAAACACATTTGACTCTTAGCTGTGATACTGTGTAATGGGATCAGGAATTTGTGGTGTGAGGTCAGGAAACTTCCTCATGCTTAAACTGAGGGTTTTCCTAAACTACTGCTTCTTTTCCGGGCAGTCTCCTCTTTGAGACAAAGTGCCTCTGTGGGCCGGCCCTGAGCCCTGGAATTCACTGCAGAGTAGTGTGAAGGAGGGGTCTGACCTGTCTGTGGAAGACAGTAGCTTCGGGGGTAGAAGCTGAGGTAGAAGTCTGACCAGGTATTCTGAGGAGGAGAATGCCATGTAGACTTGTTTGAGGATAATTCGGGGCTGGCAGCTGGAAGAGTCAACATTGTACACACACTCATGTAGGCGAGGGTTCAGGAGGGCCTGGGCACTGCGTTAGGGAAGAGCTAGGCAGTGCAGGGGAGGTGGCTCTAGACAGTTGTCCTCATGTCTATGGGGGCGTTTTGGTTAACGGGCAGGGGGAGTTCAGGACATTGGTCTAGGAGAGCCAGGGGAGGGTGATAGCTCAGATCACAGTCAGGACCAGTAATTGTGGGGAAAAGGGAGGAATTTGGAATGGTAACAAGGAAGTGTCAGAAGAGCAATAGGGTAAAATTACTGTTATTTGAGGCTGAATATGAGAAAGCTCTAACCAGAAGAAGCATTAAGCTGAGCAACAGTCTCTCAAAGAAAGTGGTGGAATAAGTTTAAAAGCAGACTGGACAAAGTCTAGAGAATCTCATGTAGAGAGCAAAAACACACTAGTCCCTGGGGAACTGGCTAGAGGTGGCCCAACAGGTCTTCCCCATTCCCAGCTTCTCTGATTCGGGAAGCATAAAACCTACAGCAATCACAGCGGACGGTGGGTGGGTGCATTCAGACTTTGGAACACTAAAATGGTTCTTCATTTCCATCCTGGGTGACTGTCATGAGAACTGCAGCCAGCTCAGCTTCAGCAGCCATTAGAACCTCTTTAGGCATAAACCTGCATGTTGCTCCGCTGCTGCTCTGACATATGTGCTGCAGGCCCTCGCTGGTTGCTGCCGAGGCTGGGGCTGGTGGCCACATCAGACCAATCTGAGGCAGAGTGCGGAGACGAGCTTGACCATTGATCAGGTGACTCAGGTGATGGAGTCAGATATGGGTGTTCCCCTGGCAAGTGCCTGGTATGGCTGGGAGTCCTCTCTGTGGCGGAGGAGGAGTAGCTGTGCTGTGATGGCGGAGTGGGGTACTTTCCCACTGAGCTCTGAAACTGGTGATAGGCTGGGAGGTTTGTCTGAGCTACTTGTCCATCCTGCTGAGGGATCACTGCCATGGGAAAGGAGGCACTTGGCAACTGAGCTAGATCTGGTACCTGGTACATGGAACTAAGAGGACCAGCTATATTCTGAGCACAGTTTGCCTGTGCCTGCTGAGGCATTGCCTGCTGGTTTATGCCACCTTTGGGAACCAGTTGGAAAGTCATAATAGGTGGCAGTGACACTCTGGAGACTCCGCCGTGCTTCACATCGGTTTGAATCATGCCACTCTGCTGAGGCATGCTGGGGTGAGAATGCACTACCTGGGGGACCATGCCAAACATCTCATTATACTGGGATTCATTCATTTCCATACGACTCATCCATTCAGCAGAAATGTTAACTGGCCTGAGTCGATCGAGCCCACAGTTTGGAGGGGTGATTCTGTGCTGTGAAAGCAGCTGGCTGACAGAAGGAAGCACAGTGCTGGATCCACATCCCAGGGGCTGCAGCTCATGGAGGTTGGAGAAGGACATGGTGTGCGCAGCCTGTACTGATGTGGCAGTGTGCTGTGTGTGTGGGGATGAAGGTAAAACCCCTGGTGATGGCATCACTGGAGACGATATTGGTTCAGATACAAAAGCATGGGGGGATTCCAGGGAATCAACTGGTGAGAGGGTTACTGAGCTCTCAGAAAACTGCCCCTTGCTTTCACTCACAGATTTCTTCCCCTTCCTCTTTGCATCCTTGGCACTTGGTTTTCTTGGCTTCTTGCTTAAGGAAGCATGTTTCAAATTGAGGAAGGACCTATTTGGGCCACAGATCACTGGCGAGAGGGCTGAGCTCAGCATGGTGCCAGGGTGCCCAGAAGGGCTATGGGTCAGGTTGTACTCATTCAGAAGGTGCACAATGTCATGGTGCATCCGGTCCTGTGCCACATCTCGGGGGAGGCGATCCATGTGATCTGTGATGTCTCGATTGGCAAAATGGTCCAACAGGATTTTAGCTGCTTCAAAACTCCCTTCCCGCGCTGCCAGGAACAGTGGTGTCTCCTCCTGAAAGCACAAAGAGGAGACATCTCAACAGTTTTGTGGTTACTGTGGATCTAGGGGAAACAATGTCGACTGAGCGAGGGGCAATAGGAGGAACTGCAATCTGTGAGTGTGGAACAGAGCCGGAATACACCACACACAAAATTCACTACAATTCCACTGAGAGAGAATCCAAGGGACAGGAACTAGCCAGCACGGCTTCAGGAGGGACTGCTCAGTGAGCTAAGGGAGAAAAACTCCCTGCGTTGGAAATGGGGGAGTGGGAAGGGAACCAAACAAGAATACAGTCAGCAAAGGCTTGTATGGGAAAGAACTGAGCCCCCAGCTGAAAGAACGGCCTGTAGTTAGACACTGGACTGGAATGTGGGAGACCTAGGTTCACCTGTGAACCAATCTGAGCCATGGCTAAGAGGGAGTGAGAAGTGGGATTTGAGGTCAATAGGAGCTGCTGGGTACCTGGCACTTTTGAAGAGTCAGGTCACTTAATTCCCTAAGTGTAGATTTAGAAGCCTCACTTCAAGCACCTAGTTTTGAAAAATCTTGGCCTAGATCATTTCCAACAGCAACGGCCCAACTGCAAAGCATGGAGTTAGTGGGAGAGAAACGCGGCTGAGTGACCAGCAGTGCAGACCATGTGTGAAGGGACAGCCCTATTGAGCATATACAAACTGTACCTTGTTGTCCTGCATGTCTCTGTTGGCTCCGTTTTTCAGCAGCACTAATGTTGCCTCCACATTGTTAACAGCAGCAGCCCAGTGAAGAGCAGATTTACCTGTGGGGAAATTCAGTCCCTTCAGCAACAAACCAATGAGCAAAGTGGGAGAGGTGTAATACAGCATCCCCAGGGAACTGCCAAGCCTGGCAACCTACAACTCTTTCCAGTACAGTAATCAGCCCTGCAGCCTCTGTGATGAGCTACACCTTGGTATGATCACCTGTGATACACCCATCTGTCCCCACAAAGCTGCAGAAAGTCCTGGCAGGCTCCCTCCATGACACCCAGAACCGCAAGGCACGTTGCAGAAAGTCTCAGTCCAACCTCCCACGAGACTCCATCTCACTACGTGCAATGGGACAGCCTCTCCAGGAGTCTCATGTTCTGTACGCTTGTGAGATGCTGCAGAAAGTCTCAGCACAACCGTCACCACTGTGTCCCCTCAGCTCTCCTCCATACATTTCAGGCATCTCCAAACAACCCACCCTATGATGGCCAGTCATTCTGCAGTGTGCTACACTTAATCACCACAGAAGTCACCTGTATAGAATACCCTCTACCCTATTTATTCTGCTAGCTCCAGTGTTATTAATAGCTCATGCTACAGTGCAGGTTTTAGCTCCTCATTCCCATTCTACACCCTGAGAAATGGTGCTGAACACAGAAGCCCTCAAGCCCCAAGCCCCGCAATACCATGATCGTCCACTGCATTGACATCAGCCTGGCAGTTGATCAGCTCGGCCACCATTCCTTCCACAGCCAATCGGGCAGCCAGAATTAGTGGGGTTGTGCCATCATTCATCCGCACATCCAGGTCCGTCACTCTGTTACGGATCAGGATCTGAGGCACAGGGGAAGAGTGATTTTTCAATTCCATTAAGAAATAAGACTGAGAATTAACAAGAAACTTCAGAGAAATTTTGTATTCATGTAGCAATATCAGGGCCGAAATTCGAGGACTCAGAATATGCAAGATATTAACAAAAAAGCAAGTGAAAATTGAATTACTACATGTAACAGAGTGTGTGTGTGTGTGTGTGTGTGTGTGTGTAATCCTTTGAGTTACTAATATCTGAAGAAACTAGACCTACAAAGAACCTTCATCCTTTCACCCTTGAGCCAATGCATTGCTCACAGTCTGAGAGCAGGATAGCCAAGGACACAGTACATGCCCAGATACATCCTTCTGGGTCGGCAGGCAGATGATGCCATGCATTGCAGTTGCCTAATGCCACTATCTCAGCCAGTGTCCTAAAAGGGATTCCCTTAATGGATTACCTGGAAGACACCCTGTGCATCAGCTGCCACGGCTGCATGAAGGGGAGACCGGCCCATGTTGTCTCGTGCATTAGCATCAGCACCAGCATCTAGTAAGCGTTTTGCCGCATCTGCTCTTGAATAGCGGGCTGCTAAGTGCAGTGCCATCTCCCCAGTACGGTCCGTTTGGGCCTGCAGGTTGGCACCTTGATAAATCAAGTCTGTTATTATATTTGCTGAAGAATCTTCCATTTCTTCATCTTCATCACTAATCTCGGAGCTGCCCACACGGAGAGATGCCAACATGAGTGGGGTACACCCATCTGTAACAGAAGAGAAGTTTGAATGGTAACACCTGCATAACAGCAAAGGAAAGCAGATTGTGCCTGTTCCCAGTGCCATATATCCTCTCCTTTTGTGCACTTGCACTGGGCCAGTGACAATCCCTTCCTTCCACGTCAGCACATGCAGCTCCATTTTACCTATTCGCGCTGTGTTACACTGTTCACATTTGGAAGGCTTTCTTCCCAACCATAGGACTAGGAACTTAGTTCAAATGAAAGCTTAGAGCCTGCAGAAGCTGATTGTTTAGGCCCCATACTCACCAAGGAAACTTTCCTGCTCATAACTGTTTCCCACTTAGTAGCTATCACAGGGGTCAGAAAGCAAATATGATGATGTTACAACAGCACTAAAAGAAGGGGGATCCAATAATCATTAAAATTGGTGGAAAGACTCCCATACATTTGGATGAGAACTGGACCAGGCCCAGAGTATGAACGTTCCAGAACATGCCCCAGATATTACAGTATACAAACGAAAATCATCTTTACTGCTGTACTAGCCAGGATAAAAGTCACAGCCAATTCTCTTGCTCCCAGGAATCACTTCCGCATAGAACAGATCACACAGGGCCATGCAAGCTGATGAGAGAGCTTCAACTAACCACTTCAAAGGCCAGCAGAACACTCTCAATGCATCTAGTCAACTGGGAAATACTAGAGCATAAGGGGAAAGTTTCTTCCTAAACTTAGGTGATCACTTGATGTTCTAGTTAGGAGACTGCCAGTAACAGAAAAGATGAAAGTCACAAGGGCTGTCTGAGTTATGGTGACCAAAACTGATCTTGGTACTAAAGGTGAGGACATATCAGAGAACATAAGACCACTACAGTATCTGCTGTAATATTATTCCTCTGTCCCTAGGAGATAGCAGAATGTCATATACACACAGCTGACAAAGGCTGCTTGTTAAGTAGATGTCTTCTTGTTTGTGCAAATTAATGGTATAAACTCATTCTCTAATGTCAGAAGGAAATCCTCCCCCGCCTCCACCACTTTTATGCAGACTACATGCTCTTGCGGAGTATAACCCTGCTCAATTGCCTCTCAGCAATTGCTGGCACAGATCAGTGCAGTAACACCGCTACCAGATTAGATGAGCTCTTGGGAATAGGCGCAGGAACTAGGGGTGCGGGGGATGCTGCAGCACCCCCAGGTGTTACGTAGGGCCGGTGGCCCCCACCCAGGCCTCCACTCCCCAGCCCGGGGCTTGGGTCCCGGCTGCCAGCCTCACTTCCCAGCCGCTGGCCCTGTGCCTGGGGCCCCACTCCCAGGGCTCTGCTCTTGGGGTGCTGGCCCTGCTCCCTGGCCCCGTGCACCTGGCTCCCCACTCCTGGGGCTCTGCTCCTGGGGTCCCGGCCGCTGGCTCCGTGGCTGGGGCTCTGCTATTGGCCCCACATGCGGGTCCCAGCTGTGGGCCCTGTGCCCGGGGCTCTGCTACAGGCCCTGTGCCCACTCCCAGCCGTACCCCTTGTCCAGGTCACCCCCTCCTGGAGACACAGCACTGCTCCCGGCCCCAGCTGGGGGGGAGCGTGGACAGAGGCAAGGGGGTTGGCTTTCAGCACCCCCACTATTTAAAGGGTTCCAGCACCACTGCTCTTGGTTATTTCCAGTACAGCAATTCATCCTTCATCTCTGCTGCGATGGTACCTTGACCACCTCCTCTGGGAGTTTTATTGCCTTAACGGACTTCCTAGACTGTCTGTATTTATTGTTCGTTGTCCTACCATTTTCTGATACTGTGAATTCCCTTCCTTTATTTCACGCTATATTCCAAGCAGTGCAGACCACAAGTCTGTCTCCCCAGAGTCTTTTTTCTAGACTGCATGGTAGGTCTCTCTCTCTCTTGCCTTAGCTCTTGGTCAAACATTGTGTAATTTTGCTGGTGTCTCTGCATGTTCTGCATCTTTACCCTGCATGAGGACTACAAGTTCTCACTGTTTTAGGTGCAATTGTTCTAATGTTGGGAGTTGTATGTAGTGCAACAGTTTACCTCAGACACCGTGTACTGACCTGGCCCTCTGACATTGACATCCAGCCCATCCACTTCCTGATCCTCCTGTGGTGGTGTAAGGGCTAGAGATGGGGTCCCACAGATGTCAGCTGCCTCTAGGTGTTGCTGTGTCCACTGGCGCTGATCTACCTGCTCCTCTCCGTCTGACAGCAAAGCTTGGTCTTCAGCCTGCACAGGGAAAATAAAAGTTAACTTCAAAAACAACTCAAATAGCAGCAGACACTTTCAAAACTGGTTTTTAAAACAAGTGTCTCCATTTGCTCAGCGTGGCATTCTTGAAGTTGAAGTTCCCACTGTGCAAGAACTGACCTGGATTTACAAAGAGGTTAGCATTGGCAAAGCTTCTCTTTCCTCCTTTACAGTCTGGAGGTCTGTACGGGAAGGGGCTCTGGCATGAAGTGACTTTGTTCCTGTTCTGCACCGGAGCAGTTGCCCTGAATTTAATATTTGCGATTTGGACAGTGTTAACTTTTAGAAGGTTTTCAGACGTTCAGGATTAGGGTGTATTTTGAGGGAGGGGCATGTTACAGAAGTACCAAACCTTATCCTAGGTAGAACAAGAAGAGTCTCAGTGGTTAGAAGGCAGTGCTCAATGCCTAGCACCTCTTACCTTTGCTCTCTTAGGCGGAGGTCCTCCACTGCTGGTCCAGTGCTCGCTCAGACTGCAGTCAGTCAAATTACCCTCTGTAGTTTGAACTGACAGATTCCTAAATAAATGGAAGAACACATGTCACATTGCAGACTGACAAAGTGAGAGTGGAATCACTAACACTCTAAGTTTAACTTGTTGTGTGTATGTGTGATGGGGCGTCTGCCCCACACTGGCTGGTAAGGGTTTAATGGAGCCCTAGGGAGGCTGCGCAGAAAGCAGCCAATAGGAGAGGGACTGCGTGGAAAGCAGCCAATCAGGGCTGGGCAAGCCCATATAAGAAGAGCTGCAGGGTAGAGCAGGTTCAGTTGCACCCTGGAGCTCAAGGAGGGAGGACTGGTTGCCTTGCAAGAGGAAAAAAAGCTAGCACCTTGGACAGAGCAGTGCTGGGCAGGATAAGGGGAGTGAGAGCAAGCTCCCGGCTGACTGCTAGCATGCTGAGGCCCTGAGATAAGGGTGGAGATAGTGCTGCGGCTGCGGGGAAGTGGCCCAGGGAAGTAGACTGAGACGTTGGCGGGGACACAGCATGTGGCTGCCATCTACAGGGTCCCTGGGCCGGGACTTGGAGTAGTGGGTCCCTCCTCCACTCGCCACTGAGGAAGTGGCTGGACAGTCAAACTGTGGTACTGTCCCCCAGAAGGGGGAGCACAGTGTGTGGCACAACCGGAGGGCTGTGTCCTGAAGAGGATGCTGTAGTCCTTGGAGCAACCTGGGTCCAGGAGCAGAAGTGACAGTGGGTGAGGTATCACCGAAAGAGGGTGCACTGGCTAGCAGTGCTGATCCCTGGGACGGCCAGCAGGTGGTGTCAGACTGGTGAGTCACACCCTGTCACACATGGTGGAGAATGTGGGCACACGGTCACCCCTGATATAAGGAAAGGATAGAGACTGCGGGGACAATTGCCTGTCACAGAGATTGCAGAGACTATCTGAGAGACAGTGGAAACACAATATGTGGAAGCATGTTTTGCTGAGGGCTTATATACCCTCCCAGACTGGACTTCAAAGTCAGTGCCCCTGCATAAAGGGGCCGACAAGCAGCAAGGGCAGCTTCAGGTTCTGCTGCTCCAGGTACTGGAAACCCAAGAGAGACAATGGGAGGCACAAGAGTACCTACAGGCCTATATGACCCGACTAGCAGAGCAGCAGCTGAATCTATTCAAGTTGCTCCAAAGGGGAGTCCATAGAAATTGCACGGAGCAAGAGGGAATGAGAGGCACCTGGAACAGGAAGCTGGGAGGATGCTATGCCTGTGGGCAACAAGGACATTGGAAGGCAGAGTGCCCTTGCTGGGATAGGCGACAGAAACCACACCCAGAGAACAGGAGGAAGGTAGAGCCCAGGAGAGCCCCACTTGTGGGGAGAACAAGGAAGGGATGGGCATGTTGGGCCTGTGAGCAACAGGAGCACCTGCGAAGGGAGTGTCCGGACCTCAGTTCTGGGGTCAAGACTGGCCCCGGGGAAGTGGCTAAGCAAGGGAAGGAACATGGGAGGCCCATGGCCAAAAGGAGGCAAAGGGCTTCTTGTTGATGCCAAGAGGAGGGCCGTGTAAGAAGATATTACCCCCTTAGGAGAAGGCCAATTGAAAAGGGGTACCCGGGAGCAAGACTGTCAGAGACTACCCAGATGGATGTGGCAGTGATAACCATGGACCTGGTGGGGAGACAGCTCCCACAGCCAGCAGGGAGTAGTAGGGAGAATAACATGACTGGGACAGAGGGAGCCGGACCTGCTAAGGGGGAAATACTGTCCTAGATACACTTTAAGCACTCTTAACATCTGATTTAATCACCCTTGCAAAGGTGGCATTCATAGCCTTGCATAACAGACTTCCATTGAACCTGAGACGTAAAGGCTTTTTGCCATCTAGCCTGGGATGAGATCTCAGAAACTGTCCTGCAGCAAGCAGGCTGGAGACTTGGTGGAATCCAGAGTGGCCCTTATGAGGGATAGGATGTAAAATGTGATGAAAGAAGATTTAACTTCAGATCTGAAGGTGGTGCAGGTCTCCTGCAGCAGTGTGAACTACCCTGCTGTCCGACTGAGCTCTTATGAGCCATTTGCTCAGATATGGACACTCCTCCAACAGATGAATCACAATCATTTCCACACACTATGTCAATACCCAGTGTGCAGGGAAGGACCTTGCACTGGTCATTTCTTGCCCACCAAGAACCTGACATGGTTCTTCCATATTGGGAGGCAAAAGCAAGCACTTTTAAGGCCGAGGGCCTAAAACCCACATGGGGCTTGTAAGCAGGGATTATTGTGCACAGAGAAGCCATGCAGAATGAGACTATCCTCAGTTATTCATTCCATTTGGAGAAGGCCAGAATAGGGGCTAGGCTATGATTTTTTTTGTTGATGAGAAAATCCCAGGAATAAAATCCTGTCCTTCTGTAAAGCTCTGGCATCGGTTCTGTGACTCCTATTTCCATCAGAGCCATGTCTGCCTCTTGCAAATATTCTCCATATGAGGGAGCCCTAGAAAAGGAAGAAGGGTTGGATATTGGCCTGGCTTCACACTGCATGAGTACTCCAGCGTGATAAATTCCAAAACCCAAACAAATGGCACCCCGTTCGTCAGCTGGGACAAATGGTCTCCAAAGCTGGGGTAGAAGAGAAAGGAAAAGGATCTGAGTACTGCAGTACTGGCTCTGGGTCCATCAGTGCATCCTCAAGTTTGTTGCCAAAGTGCACCCCACCAGCAGCTGGGGAAGGTCTTTGTATTCTCCAAGGAGTGTCCTCTGATGGTAGCTAACTCCCAGTAGGATTACTGTGACCTGCCCCAAAGTATCAAAACAAACATTGCCTGAAACAGGCTGAATGAAGCCCAGAGTCCTGGCCATACACTTCGTAGCTTTCAGTTTTTACAAGACTTCAACCTTCTTGGAAGTGAAGAGGTCTGCGCCTTCAAAGGCAAGTTCATAACCCTTTCCTGGCCACAAAGACCAGAATTCAGGAACATTTCAAGTGGGCTGTAGCCAGAGACCCGGCAGCAACATCAGATATCAAATGCAGTCCTGAGGGAATGTTTGAACATCTCCTGGATTTTAGCCTTGAAAATGCCTGTGTCTTGGCCTCAGATGCACTGGGCTTTAGAGGCAGCTTTTGACCAGAGCCAAGTGTTTTATCTGGCCTGATAACTGACAGCACAAAGTTTTGGACACTGAGGGATAAGCCTTTCTTTCAAACATGTCCAATGGCTACATTTCTCTGTCCCTGGGGTCAAAGAACTTCCCAGCGTTAGTGTTCCCTCTTGCCTGGGAAACCACAAGCAAGCAGGTTTGGAATCTGGCAAACATTCATAGCCCTCCATAAGGAATCAGCTTTCCCCAACACAAGTAGCAGAGGCAGGAACAATCTCTGTAGCCAGCACCAATGAGCGAGGAGCCTTCTCCCACCTAGCACACCTGCCAATGCAAGGCAGCCACTGCTCCCGTACTCAGGAGATTGGCCTGCAGAGATAGCTAGGCATGCCAGGGAAGCGACCAAAGGGACGGTGCAGTTAGCACGCTGCCTTGTGAACTGAAGGATTGTGAAGTGAACTGTTTGGCAATCTTAACTGAAATGTGCTATGTGGCTGCTACAGTAGAGTGGACACAAGAGAGCCTAGCGACAGCTGCCTTGGTAACCACAGCTCTGAACTTCCTTAGCTTTTACTTGTAAATTCTTAACCCCAACATTCTATTGAGGTAATTTCTGGCACCGAAGTCCTTGCTTTCTGAAAAGGTGCAGCTTCAGTAAATGGGCACATGTGACGTGTTCATGCAGAAGCATGAGGCGGGCACTCCAAATATCCAGTAGACATATGCTCATTTGCACGTTTCTGAATTTGGAGCTGTTTACATGGCCCCACATTGAAATAAATGTGTAAATGCAGCAAAGTCCCCTGCTGGGTTATCTGCCAGGACTGAACCCAGACCTCTGGCTCTAAAAGCACTTGCCTGTACTGCATTAGTTATAGGACTGGTCCATTAGCTTGGAGACAGTAAACCTTTCTAGCCACTAGAGGGGGACCAAAGTCACACTCCTGGCATGTATCAGTAAGTTAGAGAGACATGTTTTCAGCATCTTTAATCCTTCATTAAAACACACACACTGGACCATTTATTGACTTTTGACTTCTATAGGAGTTTCATCATGGATGAATATGGCCCATTATCTGCACTTATTTCAACAAGCCAGTGATAGCAGGGTACATCCAGAGCTCTGCACTTGGTTAATTTCAGTGGAAAGTCAAGTAAAGTGAATGAAGAGCATGTGATTTTCAGACGTTTTGTTATTTCTGCACAATCACCCTTCATGATTTCAAATTCACAGAGTCAGACACCAACCCTGTTAGGTAACATCTAGTCCATCCCCTAGAGGGTAGTGCAAGACTGTTACCTACAATGGGTTTTCTGGTGCTTTATGCAATCTAGTTTTAAATTTATCCATGGGCTGGGGCTTCCATCTGTAACATTAAATGAGATATCAAATGAAAGATCATCTCAACTGAACATCTGAACAGAGAAAAAGCTTGAGAAATTTTAGCCTGATGTGTAAATTTACCCCACCCCCACAAAGTTGTAAGTACCTTTAATTAGGGATTTATGCACTACGTGGTGGTTTGGTTGGCTCCCAAAAACCTAGCACGCATAAAGGCGTTCAATGACCCAATTCAGACTTACTTCAATCCAACTGCATCTTCCCCAACTGGCTCTCTGCGCTTGTGGTTACTGGGGTCCCGGCGTAGAACAAAGCCTTCTGGAAGCCAGAGAGAGCCATGCTTGCGCTTTCTCTTTGCCACAAGCACACCCAACAACAGGATGAAAAGGATGATCACAGCTGCCACAGCAAGTAGGTAAACCAACTGGGTCTTCTTTGGTAGCCAAGGTTCACCTAAAAATTCCAATTAAAATACAGCAAAGTAAGTGCTTTTTTGGACAGCAGCCTTCAATCCTCCTTCCTTGTACATAGGGTTTCCTTCTCCATGAAGACAGTGATTTTTCTCCACTTCATGGTGGGTTTAGAACAAAGGATGCCAAGGCCTTAGGAAGTTCAGACTCTGGCTATGCACTGTAGGTTCTGACAAGCCAGTATAACTGTACAATGAACACAGCACTTTCATTCTATTGTCTAGCCTTTGTTGCATGTTTTTCAGAGTGTGTGTTTTAAAAGGTTGCAGGGCTGCAGAAAGCAAATTTTGAAGAAGTGCATAGCTTGTTCATACATCATCATGTGTAAATGTAACACTTGTGGAGATCCTGAATAAGCTGCACACGGCTTCATGAACAAGATCTTCAATGGTGCACTCAATTGCTTTGACGAAGATCCTGTTCTTTGCTCAGCTGGCTCAAGATATCCATTCCCAAATTCACAACACTACTAGGTATAAAGTAGTTGTTTCTGGTCAAGTGCTGAATTTTGTAACTAGGGCTCAGGTTCTGGTGGCATCTAAGGAAATTCTGTATTGAAGAAGAGGATATTTCTGGCAGGCTGAATTTTTATTAAAGGCGCCTATTTAAATCTGCTCAGGGAGTTTGGAATGTTTGAATGAGTTCTAGCAGACATGTGATGGTCAAAGGTGTGTGATAAATCTCTCACATGGCTCTGCAACTTATCACCTCCACATATGTGTTTTACAACTAGTTTTACACTCCACACTATAAAAGTTAAAAAATGAATTACACGAAGTGTACCACATATGCACACAATGGCCACACATACTTGTAATACTGTAGGGGATCAGTAAATTAGCCCGCAACATGATTAAGTTTCTTGCAGGATTCAAGAAGCTGCATTTGAACAGCAAGGTGCAGACAGGTGTTGAAGTGCTGATCAACAATTAAAACATGCTATTTCATACATTAAATCAAGCATTTATTTCTTTCATGCGCCAGACATATCCCCCCGTCTCTCTTCCAACGTTACTTACTTTGGACAGACACAAAGGGGTAGGGCAGCATGTCCTGCATGGCCTGAGCTGCTAAGAGAGCTGCAGCAGCTTCTGTGCTTTTAAAGCACTGGTCTGAATCTTCACTACATTGGCGGTTGTCAATTTCCAGGAACACCTTCGTGCTGCAGGAACAGAATTGAAGTGCAGAGGAGTAAGCAAAGGAAGAGAGAATTGGTCCTTCTAAATGGTGCTTCCCTAAATTAAAATTTAGTCTCCCGGGTTAATTCTTCTAGCCTAGCATTGTATTTAGCAATCTTCATAGTTTTATACTCCTCCCGTGGCAGAACAGAGACGTATTTTAGGCCACAAATACTGCATACATTTGAACCCACCTCACACCCACAGTACCTAACGATATAGTCTCACTAGTGATGCACAAAGGAATTCACTCACCCAATGACCTCCTGTTCAAGTTCTCTGGGCTTGCGATTGCCTGAGAGTGATCGCCGACTCCGTGACGACGGCCTCTCCCCATAGTATGGGAACACCATGGGGTTTCCCTGTGAGTCCAGTTTTATTCTCAGGTTGGTATGAAGAAGGGATCCTAAAGTCCGCAGGAAACTGCGGGCATCACTGAGCAGCTCATCGGGGGGCATCAGTACCACAATAATAAGGGTCCCTTCTGCCAGTTTCTCAGCTTTGTCACCAGCACAGTCCAGGCCATCCCAGCCACACTCCTCACTGTTACAGCCCTGGTCACAGCGCCCGTCCGCATAATGATCTGCACAGTACTTATCATACCTAGGAGAGGGGCACGGGGTTACAAACAGCAGCACACTGGTGTTTCATTGTACCTCTAGTCTGGGGCCTGCAGAACAGGATTCAAACCTTTCCCCGCTAATCAGCTCCAGTCTGGGTTCAGGTTGAGGAGGAGACTGGAGGGCTGCAGCGTATCGGGTGAGGTATTTCACCTCTAGTGTACTGCTTGCAAGCTGGTCCCAACTCTGGGTCTGAATGGGTGGAGGAGACCTAATACCTGTAGGTCATCTGGTTTCGTTAAGGAGAGAGAATTGCTCAGTCCAGTAAATGGTCCTGCACCAAGCACTGGGATCAAGTGACCAGTTACCATGCCGAAGCTGCAGCACCTGCTGCCTGCTAGTGATTAGAAAGGCGCACCCCAGGAATTCAGCTGTAGGTCTCACTCCTGTACTACGTTTGTGTGGGGTGGGATCCAGAACACGGAAAGACACCTAGAAGTTCATTTTCCCCAGGACCTCAAGAAACACTCTACTCTGGTTGGAGGGGTTTGCTCTAATTGGAGTTTCTTTGGGAAGTAGGAGAGAGGTGCAGACTGTGCAATATGTTCAGTAAGCAGCTTAGCATGCGGTGTCACTGAGCACACATCTTCCAAAAGTTATTTCCAAAGAAAGCTGAAAACCAGATGAGAGAGGGAAAGTTCCTTGATGTGGGGGTCCTAGCAAGAGTGCAGAGAGCATGCGCCCTTCACAGGGCTGTGGGGGGGAGAGGCAGTACAGGCCAAGCATTCAAGCTGTTAGAAGCACTAGCGAGAGCCTTGTGTTAGTTACAGAGATCCCAGCAGTCAGGAGCAGGCCTTACTTGCATTGCTTGCTATTTTGCTGACACTTGAAGTTGTCGAAGAGGCACTCGGGTGTGTTACAGACCTCATCACACTTGCCATCGAAGTGCTTCCAGCAGTGCAGCAAGGAAGAGCAGTTGGCCCAAGGATCCTCCCCTGTCAGGGAACAGTCACCTCCATCCCACTGGCAGCTGTGCATGTTACAGTCCTTGTCACAGTAGCCATCTTTTGCTCTTTCTGCACAGCGTTGGTCCGGACAGCCCGGTGGCTGTTGGCTGGGGCGCACTGAGTGTTCACACTGGCTCCCTTCAGACTGATCAGGACACTGGCAATAGTAGTAAGGTGGCTGAGTCCTGGGAATGCAGCTTCCACCATTCTGGCATGGTGCACTGGCACAGCCTGTACCAGTCTGGCACGCCGTGCCAGCTGAGAGCTTTGGGCAGTAACATCGGGGCCCAGAGGATGTCTGGATGCACTGCTCTCCTTTCTTGCATTTCACTTGCCCACAGACACTGTGGCTGCCAAACTCACATTTAAACCCAGAATAACCCTATGAGAAAAGTGCGGAGATCAGACCGATTAATGTTCTTAGGGCTGGAGAAGAGATTTTGGTTATGTCACGCACAAGGGTGCACAAATATCAGTTTATCTATTTCACAGACCCAACCCCCACGTCAACTCCTGTATCCCTACCCCAGGAACTTGTGGGGCTTTCCTAGATCTAACCACAGACACACTGGTTCCTGGAACCTACAGGACTTTGAGCAGAAAGCCCACCAAGGACTGGTCCCTACACCAAGAAGCTTATCTATCTGGCCTTGCCTTACAAGTCCATAGTGCACCCTTGAAGTGTGTGCGCTATAGTTAAGGTTGCAAGACAATCTCCATCATAATCTTATTTTCTCACAAGATGATAATTGTCAAGAATTTTCACACCTTTGGGGCTGATATTTCCCAGAATTGATCACTGCATGAAGTTGTGTGTGCACCTGGCTTTCACAAGCTGGAACACATTTTCTTTTGTTTTTTATTCATGAAATGGGGCTCAGTGGAGTTCTGTGCAAACAAGTACTCAACGGAGTAGCAAAAAACCTAATACTAAATATCTAAAACTATCTTTAGGACAGAGAAACTTTCCCAGAAGGGTACTGCTAGGGTTGGCAATGGCAAATCTCAGCTTACCACCTGTGGCATTCAGAAGGAACTGACTGGTAGGTGGGGCTGTACTCCTATGCTCAGGTGGGAGGCACATGGATGCTAGTGCAGTTCCAATGGACACAGCTTCCCACAAAGTTCAGAGGGTGCACACTTTCTCTACAGCAGGGATCAGTGCCGGCAATACTCAAAGAATAAGCAGTTTGATGGAGGCTTTGAGGATCTTTGCACTGCTCATGAGCGGACACTAACTGACGGGGCTTACTACCTGCTGCCACTGGGACTTATTGTACAATAAAGCCAGAAAACATGGGGATGTCTGGGCTAAAACATGCCGTGTAAGGGCATGACACTTACTGGAGGACACTGGCAGATGAACCCAAAAGGCAAATGACTGGCAACAACACAAGTACCGCCATTCTGACAAGGCTGCTGGGGACACACATCTGTTAGGGTCTCACAGTGACGACCTACGAAGCAGACACACAAGGAAAGGAGAGCACACAAAGTTAAAATCAAATGGCTGCTCAACGCTCCCTTTATTTTTCAATAAGAGACACTGACAATAGATCCTCCATCAGTCTGTAAGCCTCCTTCACTCTGTAACTCTAAGTGTCCCTGAACCCTGGCAACTGGGGTGGAGCTGCAGAACGCCCTTTGGATGGTACCTAGCGGTACAACATAGCTCATGTTCCACATTCAATTCTGACCATATTACCAAAATGGTATCAAAGAATGGGCAGCAGTTAAGAAAAGGGCAAAAAAATTGATTATGGATTTGGATGGAGTGATTTATGGAGAAAGTTAAATATGTATGGCTTGCTTAAGTGTGCAGGGAAGTAGAAATGAGAGTTGTGCACCCTTCAGATAATTGTAAACATTAAGGAGGAAAAGGATTTAGGGTAATGAATTGGGAAAAACTAGGAATATGAGATTAGGACAGATGAGATGAATAACAGGAAAGAACTTCCTGGCAGTGAAGTGTATCAGGCTGTGGAGTTCTCTCCAGCGGTAATTATGGAAGTCCCATTGTGCTAAGATCTTAAAACCAGAGTGGTTAAAACAACAGAAGTCTGTGGGGGGGAACAATCATGAATTGTCACGGAAATGGACTGGATAACCTAACAACTCCTAGAGAAGGGCAGGACAATAAGGATAATGTTTTGATCAAGTCAATGGGAAACTGGGATGGCATTTCCAGGTACTCACCAGTGAAGGCACTGCGACAGATGCATGTATAATCATTGACCAGCTGAATGCAGTCTAGGCTACCATGAGGGCTACAAGGGTTGGAGAGGCACTCATTAATATCCCCCTCACAGCGCTCGCCTGCAAAGCCTGGGAGACAGTGGCAGCTGTAGCCCCCAATTTGGTCAATGCACTGTCCTCCATTAAAGCAACGGGGTCCTCCCAGATCTGAAGCACAGTCATCAATGTTCTCCTCACAAAGACGGCCTGTTAAAACAAGTGAGAGAAACCAGAGCCTCAGGCGTCGCCGCCTCATTTCTTATAGTTCATCAAGTTACCAAAGTCGACCTTCCATTTAATCCAGGCTCATCCGGGTTAGGATCCCTGCCCAATTCATTTACTTCAGCCTCAGATTATCCCCAATGAACGTGTGGGTTAGATTGAGCCTGGTCTCAGTGGTACTTCATTTGAGCATTTCCAGTGGTTTTCATTTTTGTTTAATTTATGGTATATATATATTTCGAAAATTTGATTTAGTCCTACGGTCGAGGAATTATCTCTCGGAGCGATTGTTTGCTGAACACTGCCAGACAGTTCTGCATTGTCACTTGAAAGGCTACAAAAAGCAATTTTAATTTAGTTTGGTGGTAACCCTGAAACCTAATGACAAGAGTTTGGATCAACATACTTCAAATAATCAGCAATGGAACAAGTTGACAGAAGTGTCTGTGGGTAGAATACAGGCTCACGACTGGCAGGGCACCACTGCTGGGCATCTAGGACAAACTTTGGACATTGCTAGGGATGGTAGTTCCACAAGTTCCCCTTGGCAGCTTGTTCTGTTTAACCTATTCTTCGGTCAGAAACTGTAGGGAAAGTGTCCTAAATCCATCACTGGTTCTGCCTCAGATAATAAGATATAGGATCCAGCTGAAGAACCAACCCATAACTGATCCAGTTGAATCATATTTTCCTCATTCTTTACACAGAATACTCCAATTCTGGTTTGACACGATGTATTCATACCTGTTGCCAGGGCCGGCTCTAGGTTTTTTGCTGCCCCAGCCCTGGGCTCTCTCTCTTCTCCCCCCGCCCAACCCCCAACTGCACCCTCCTGCCGCCCCAGCCCTGGGTCACTGGTAACTCGCTCCCAGGGTGGATCATTCAGCAGGAATTTTGGGTGTGCACAGAACACAGACAGGATTGGTTCCCATACGGTTACAGAACTGCAGTAAAGTGGAACAATTTTCAGCTTGTGTGATTGAAGGATATCTGGATGCATATTATAAGACTGTCCTACATAAATCAGGAAAAGTTGAGGTGCCTTTATTATTCTTTTGTTCCATTCTTTGTTTCTATGGGGAATTTGCCAATGCAATATCACTGTC